GACGATGAAGCAGTGAGTGTGCACGGTACTGTCGATGAGGGGTCAGTGTCCGGTGCAAGCCTCCGAACAACTACTGTGATCTCAATCAACACCGGTTTGTTTGAATTTCCGACACGGAAGATTGAAATTCCAGCTTTCAAATACAGCACTCGTCATTCTCCCGCTGAATTAGAGCAGCTGCTGCCGGATTACTACTGGCAAACAGACAGCCAACATGATGTGCTTTGTAGATGCGAGTGCTGCCAGCTGGTGTGGGAGTTGGATGATTTGAATTGAACTCTCACAAATGTGTTGGTAAAGGTGCCTCTGGATTTAATTAGATGAGCCTCTCCTGTGGGTGGGAGGTCTTTGTTGCGGCAACTAATTTAAAGTGTGTACAGCTTCCGTAAATTCATAATTATGTATGATCTGGCCTATAAGGTTCCAAACAGTGCCCACATCCGCTGAGTGCTTGTCAGACTGAGAGTCTATTGCGTGGAATGGGGCTTGAGTCTAGTAACTATAGTATGACCCTGCTGACAAGCATCTTCCTTTGCTGCATATTATGTTGAAGGCTTGAGTTTCTTGCCCTGATCTTGGCTCCAATCCAAGAACCTGCCACTTTGGGGTGTGGTGGCGGGACGGGTTTTCTCCAGTCATGGAGGAACTAAGCAACAGTATGGCAGCGATGTCTGCTCAGGCTAGCCAACCTTTGGTGGTTCCACTTGTTCAATACGTGTGCTATTGTGATGCCGTTCTTTGCGTCGACTGTTTACCCATGGTCGCATGACTCTTGGATGTCTCTCACATGTGCCAGGAGGCATTTGATGAGAAGCTTACACAGATGCTGCGTGATGTGCCTGAGCTCATGACCGACGAGCCGATTGCCGAGATCAAGTGATATGATGCAGTGAATGATGTGCGCAATACGATAGCTTCTAGGTGGCTTGACATCATCCGACTCAGGTCTCTTGTGCCTTCTTCTCACTTTCAGGAGTTAGTGGACAGAATGAGGCAGAAGATCGAGACTGTCGTGGAGATCCATGGGCAAGAACTTCCTTTCTGCTTGGAGCCTGACTTGGAGTTGGACAAGGTCTCTGATAAGGATACTCCAAACGATCCAAGTGCCGCGACAACAAGTGAGCCACGGAATTCCAGCAGCAGCTCTACTGCTACGGAGCAAGTGAAGATGGTGCCACACACCTTCAAGTTCTTCCAGGTTAGTGCTGAGTGTGTGTGGTCTGTTGTTCAGGCATGGTGTTTGCAAAACCCCTGCATCGACACCCCAAGTTCTGTTTCATTGACTGACCTGCCTTGTGCCTTTCAGAAAGCAGTGTTCTAGAAAGGTAGGGGAAAAGCTAGTGTGTGCAGTGAGATGTAGAGTTCGTGATTGCCCTATAGGTTGACCAGGTTCAAGCTGTGGACGGGTATCGCAACTTCTTTTCATTTGCTGAATGGTGGCAGTTCAAGACAAAGTACACCCAATGGTTTACCAAATCCTACTCAACGACCTGCCTGAGTCTATCAGCATGGCTCGATGTCTCGCCTGGCCATGTGCCTTTGGTATGGCAATTGACGAACATTTGTTTGTGTGTTTGCACATGAGGTAAAAGGTGAATACCATTTCAAAGGGATGAGGTTTGTTTTGAAAAGCAAGGTGATGAGACGAACTGGATACAAGGGCCTAAAGAGATTAGCCTACTGTCTTCCAATTGACGGAGCATCTGCCATGGGTATTTTGCTTACGGTTGGATGTATTCTGCCTTCGAATTCGCTTGGAGCAGAAGCAGTGACAGCTTGCAGAATTCTTTTGGCAGCACTGGAGAGGCATGCCAAGGTCCACAAGATCCAGGTACCCCTTGCTGATGGTGGCAAATTGTCACTTGAAGCCAATGACGACAATGAGTTCCTCCTGTCTGACCTGAAGTCACTGCACAAAAAACTCGGCCTGAACTATGCCAGGCACAAGTGTGCAATTGAAGTAGGGGGGTTCCGGGGTTCCAAATTCGGAGCGTCAGTAGTCAAACAAGCAACAACTCCACTTTCAGAGACATGATCAAGCAATGTCTTTTGAACACATTCTGCGCAGGTTTGCAGCGAAGCTGCCTCATGCTGAGCGGGTCATTGCAGTGCCTGCAAGTCATATCGTTATGGCCTTGCTGCGGTTGAGGACTTCTGGCTCAAATGAGTGCATCAATGGGGCTTTTCACCTGCTCACAAAGAGTGTCTGTCACAGCTTTGCACAGACAGCAGAGCGCTCAATAGAACAGAAGCTCCTTTCTGAGTGTCCAGATCCATGCGTTTTGGCCCGGGTTCATCCATTTATGAAGAGGGCGACAACCAGGGGAAACAAGAGCCTTCAAATGAGCTTGGTTTCCAGGTGGGTGTCTCGTGGCGGAGGATACGTGTCTTTGAAGGACACCAACCTCGAGAAATTGAACATCGTGGGTAAGCGCTCGACACTAGCAAGTCGCACAGCCGCAGAGTACACAGCAAGGATTTTGGTGAAATCCGCGGAGTGCATGGAGGAGTCGGTGGAGAAATCCAAAGTTGTGAACTTCTGCTTTGACGCTGCAAGGGTGGCCGAAGAACAGGTATCTTTGTTTATGCAACTAAGAACCTGGTATCATTGTGATTTGCGTGTCTCCTATTAAAGTCTACGACCTCCTTTTCGAGCTATTGACACTGAAGCCACCATTTCTCTGGAAAACTTATGTGCTTTTGTTTTGAGGGTCAAAAGCTAAGTGTATGAATCCTGCAGTTTCAGGTACTGAGTGTGATCTTCAGGGCGTGTGGCAAGCAGTTTGCTGGTGCAACTCAGCTTCTACCATCGGGCTTGGGTGTGGACGAGTCTGCCTGTGCTATGGAGAGGTTTGCTGAGGCAGCCAAAGTCCAAATGGGACAGACTGCAGGCCCTGTGAAGTTGCCTTGCAAGAGCTTTGACTGGCGTGAATTCCGCTTGCCAACCAAACAGTTGCTCATGGCTGTGGCGAACGCTTTGCAAGTATCGTTGCCCAATGGGTTTTCCTTCAAAAGTTGCAGGCCTCGAACCCTACTAGTGCCACGTAGCCACGAGGCAGACAGGTTTGCTCTGCTGGACACAGAGAAGCAAGCGCTGGGGCTGGGCAAGTGGCCCGCAGATGCCAAGCTTTCCTTTGTGTACCACTATGGTACGCAAAGGCGGTGGCTGGACTTTATGCCCCATGATGACCAGCCATACAAACTCATTTTCAGCGCAGATGAGGGAACTGAGGACAGGGGGACACACATGCAGCAGCGTCAACAGTCACCAGCCATCACCTTCTTAGCTCCAAATTTCTGGAGTGAGTCTAGAGTCTAGACTAGAGGGCAGCAATTTGCAGTAAGGTTTGAACTACAAGAGTGTGTCAGTGATGTTTTCGCTTGGGTGTGCCCTGCCCCTGAGGGGTTCATTGGATATTTGCACTTGGCACATTGTGGGATATGGTGCAACTTCTGGCCAGATATGCTCCATAAACTGGCCAGGAAGGCGTCCATGTCGCTGGTTTCCAGTGGAGCGGATGATGTTGTGAAGAAGCTGAGACGGGTGTTCCAGCTGAGCAGAGGTCCATGGAGTACATCGAAATTCGGAAAGGAGTTGGAGGTTGCCCGTATGCAAATCCTCCGAATTTTGAAGGAAGGCACCATGGACCAGTCCCTGCTGGAGAGTTGGCTTCCTGGAGTTGCTCGCGACCAGCAATGTGACCCCTCAAGCTTCGGCCCTTCTGAGTTGATCAGATTGCTTGAGAAGAAGTCAGGACCGTGGATGAGCAAGGTGTTTAGTAGTTTAATGTTTTCTTTTGAAATGTTGCCAGTCGCCCGCAATAAATGGCCCAGAGTTTGGTGTGTTTACAATCCTTTGAGGAAGCCTGCGCGTCCGCTCAGACGACCACAATGATTCGCGATGGTTTTCTTTCTTTGACCACTCGGTGAGCTGGGACAAAGTCTGGCATGTTGAGGCGCTGGTCCACGAGTTCCTTTGGTTCTCACAAGGCAAGTCCCCGTGGCATCTGAAGCACCAGGAAAAGAAGAAGGAGGAGGATGACCAGGCGGCGTCAGACTTCAGTAGTCGCAAGCAAGCCTTCAACGCCACATGGCTGAAAGGGAGCATTGCTGAAGTAGTCTTCAAGTAGAACATGAGGTGTAGTTCTTAGGAAGAGCTGGTAACTAGAGACAAATTAATGACAGCTAGACATCTACTATTCTATATGTTTTATATAGAATATATATATACACATGGAGAGCAAGGTGGCCCAATTGTTTTGTAGCTAAGGGTACTAAGGCTACAGTGCAACTCTTACTTGTCTACTTGTCCTTTGGAGGCCCCTTGTTGGAATTGGAAACAGGAACGTCTTTCGATGGATGCCGACCTTTGCTCCTGACTCAAGAACTGTCTGTTGAAGAATGGAGGTGTGCACATGCTGCCTGTGCAGTGCAAACAGGGGACAAAAAACACGGTGTGGGAACGTGATGCTTTGGTTTGACATTGGGTGAGTGTTGAATTGTTGACCTAGGTGCTGGTTGATGACACGTGTCAGGATCTAATGAGAAGCATCATCCTTTGCTTTCTGTCAGGATCTAATGAGAAGCATCATCCTTTGCTTTCGACACATGAGAGGCTTTGCGAGTCAGTATGACGCTCTTCTGCAAGAAACGAGAATGATACATCAACCAACTTTCCCATGACAAGTGTCCTTGGACTAAGTATCCCACCTTTAATTCTTGGGCTCCCTTGATCACAAATCTACAAAATGCTGGCGTGCAAACATCAGCTCGACCATCCTTGCAAACACTCACAAACCTAACCTGCAACCGTTTTGCACCCTCACTGACAACTTACTGTCAGTCAACCTTGTGAATCATGGGGACTCTACGTGGGGGACTTGGTATGCCATGCGTTTCTTTCCTAACAAAGTGTTAAACATCTCAGCCCAACATGCGTTGTGGTGTCAATCAATACATACCATGCTAAAGAGTGCAAAACAAAGTGTCCTTTAAACCAAGTGTCGTTGTGGCACGCTACTGTCATCTTGAATTAAGTATTGAATGTATCATTGTTCCTTTTTATTATACTTCTGGACGGCGCCAATGATTCCAGTTAAAACATGTTTTACAAGTGCTCCTGAGTGGATGAATGTCTGTCTAAGTACAGTGAGTCTTCATGGGGCTTGCTGTGCATCTTGGTCAGGACAAGGACATTCAGCGGGATGCGACAGGCAGTGTGAAGCATGCCATCAGCCTTGCGTCAGGCAAAAGAGTGCGAAAGCTGATCCAGACTCGATCTTAATTGCCTTACTTATTATCCGTTACCTTGCTTGTGGCGAATGACAGGTTCGAGCACGCTTTTAGTGTTGCTTTCTGAGGAAGACCATTTTGGAATGCGTGGAGCAAACAGCGTTGGAATACATCAACGCTGTTGGGGATGGGCCAGAGAATCAGGAAGTCATGACCTTCCATGCCAACCTTCTTCTCTTCCAGATCTCAGCTCTAAGTGAGGTCCAGTCCTACCACCGTGCGTTCCCTTGGCGTTTGGTGGAATGCTTGGATCCAGCATCCTGGGCAACTGTACTTCCTGCAATGAAGGATCTCTGGTACTTCGTCATTAACATGGCCGATTGCTTGAAACCAAATGACAAGCTCTACTGGATAGTCCAGGTGACTCGCTTCCAGCCCTTCAGAGATGTCATGATCGCTGGCGAGTTGCTTGACCCAGTGCTTCTTATGCTCATTTCCCCTGGATGTTACACTGCCAAGTGTCAGTATAGGGAGGTAGTTGTTTGTCATTAGCTGGTTCATCCCTCCTCCTTTTGCAGCACTATATAGTTTGTTTGAGGTTCATAGACTTTGACGTGCAGCGGATGGGTTCGCCTGCCAGCCGCCCCTTGCAAGAGAACATCCTTGCAATCTGCGGGCTTCAAGAGGCTGGTGCGCCCACTAGCCTTTTGAGCTCGTTGCCTTCAGAGCTTGCTTTCAACAAGCTAAGAGATGCAGCCAAAAGGCACAGCAAACAAGAGAGGTGTCAGCCCGCAGCGCTGCACTCTGTGGCTTGGAAAGCCAGTGTGAGCCATGTGTGCGGATGTGAATCCCTCGAGCTCACAGAGGAGGACTGGGCCGTCCCCATGAAAGCGTCCCAGATCAAGGTGTCGGTGCATTCCAATATGAGATCGTCTTGCTCTGACATGGGGATTTCAGTGGAAGGCCTCACGAGGCACAAGCAGGCCAACCAGTACACCAAACCTCATATTTGGACTGCTCGCTTGGAATACCTAGAGGTGCTGTCAAACGCCTTCAAAGCCGCAGAGGGCACGATTGAGGACAAGCGAGTGGCAGTGACAAAGATGCACCAACTTTCGTGGCTGTGCAAAGTCTTGCCTTGCATGTGGTTCCTCAAGCCCAAGACAGAGGAAGCGGACATTCCTCACGAGTCGTTGATCATTGTCAAAGCTGGACCATTCACCGCCCGATGTGTGAAGCTCTCTACACTTGGCGACAACTGGTACCGGCTTCAAAGCAGCGATCCTTTGCATGAAGTGATTGTGACTGACCTCGACCAGGTGACATTGGCTCAGGCCACGCCTGACATCCATGCAGGAGCTCTGGCGTGGGCCAAGACAGGTCCATGGCTCTCGATTGTGGACTTCGTTTGTGACCATGGCATTGAGAATGTTGGAGCTCAACTGCTAATTTCCCTTTGTGCGCTGCTCAAAATCCCTGGCCACAGCAAACTTGATCACAAGCACCGAGTGGAGCTCTTTCTGAAGACTTGCGGTCGATCAGAGGAGTACGTGGCGCGAGTCCTTGAGAACTTGCCGGAGCCAAGGAAAAGAACAGCAAAGGAGTCAGAGGTGCCAAAGTGTTTTCAATTGCCAATTTGTTTCAAACTATATATTTTGAACTTTTTGTGGATTGTCAGATCCCTTGAACTCGACTTGTGCATCTTCCTTTTGTTCTTGGCAGGTGGAAGAGATGGACGCAGATGACAACATGCAGGGTGAATCAGATGACGAGGCCATTTCTGTGATGAAGGCTTTTTTGGACGAGGACCTTGGCAACAGTGGTGCAGCTGATGAGAATCCAAAGACAGCCGGTGATGTCTCTACGCCAGAGGCAACCGCTGATGTCCCTATGCCTGAGGCAAAGGATGATGCGTCGGTGAAGGCCGCCGGGTTCAGATGGGTATATATATTATATTATATTATATATACATATCATCTTATGTATAGGGACCTCATGGCAAATCCTAATAAATAGTCCCCACAAAGACAAGAAAGAGTTCCACATCAGATGAACAACACCATTAGTTTTCTGGCAGTGCAACTGATGGTCATTCCTTCTGTTTGTTTTCATGGCACGCATCTTCTCTTTGGATGAGGTAGAATTAACCTGTTCTTGTGTGCCCAGGAGCAGAGAGCAGATGTGGGCATGCCTCACGCACATGGAGTGGCGAGGGAGCGTCCAAGCGGAGAGTTTCCTCCAGGGGTAGTGTGCTATCGAAAGGAACCGCAAAATGCCAATCCTCTGTTGCAAGCCTGGCTTCCAGGCAACTTCAAGCATGAAAACAAACGCAGCAAAGCTGTGTCTTTTTTGAATGATGGTGGTGTGGCATTAGTTCGGGGCACAACTAGAACCTACGCCCAAGCTGAAAGGATTTGCTTGAGCAGGGCATGGAGTTGGTGGGACACACTAAGTGTGGAACAAAAGTCCGCCATACAAACCTCAAGTTCAGAGCTCCTTCCAAAAAGCGGAAGGTTAACTAGAAAGGATGAAACCTGAGACTCCTGGGGGTGCAGGAAAAGGTGCGTGTGTGAAGTTGTGGGAGCCATTGCT